ATCCATCCATCCATCCATCCATTATCATCCATCCATCCATCCATTATCATCCATCCATCCATCCATCCATCCATCCATCCATTATCATCCATCCATCCATCATCATCCATCCATCCATCCATCATCATCCATCCATCCATCCATTATCAATACCGCTTATTCCCTGTTTTTCGGGATTTAAATCTGTTTTTGGGGGGAGTTTAAACAGTTTTTTGGGGGCTTTGAAACTGTTTTTAAATAAGTTTTTTGGGGCCTTAAAGCTGTTTTTGGGGGGTTTTAAAGCTGTTTTGGGGTTTTTAAAGCAGTTTTTTGGGGTTTTAAAGCAGTTTTTGGTGCTTTTATGGGGTTTTAAAGCAGTTTTTGGTGCTTTTAAAGCTTTTATGGGGGCTTTAAAGCTGTTTGGGTTTTTTTTTTTTAACTGTTTTTTTGTCTTTAAACTGTTTTGGGGGACTTTTAAAGCTGTATTTTGGGCTGTAAAGCTGTTTTTGAAGCTATTAAATCTGTTTTAGAAGCTTTAAAACTGTTTTGGGGATTTTAAAACTGTTTTTGGTACTTTTAAAGTATTTTTTGGGGGGTTTAAACAGTTTTTTGGGGGCTTTAAACTTGTTTTGGGGGCTTTAAAGCAGTTTTTTGGGGGAGGTTAGGGTTAGTTGCATTCTTGCACACCTTATAAATGGAATGGCCATGAAGAACTTATTTGGAGCCAGTCCCAGTTTGGACTTTGGGGTCATGTCGTTCCTGTGACAGGGCAGCTTCTCGATGGGAAACCATTCGATGTTCTGGAAAACGCAGGAAGAGAAACAACATCACGAAGACGGAAATATTTCCAGAATCTGGAGAGGTGAGAAGTGGGAACATCTGCTTCCTACCCGGATCTCCTTCCGCGTTTTGGGGTTGAACTTTGTGTCCTTAGAAACTCCTCCTATGATGTAGAGCCTCACCAGCTGGTCGGTGATCTTCTGCTCGATGAACATCTCTTTGCAGATGCGGTTCTTGATATCGAACCCGGTCTCCTCCAACACCTGCGCACAGTGAGAGGTTTCCCCCGTGAGCCTGGAGCTCTGCTCCCCCCGGTTATGGCCGGCCACCACTCACCTCTCGCACCGCGCAGTCGTAAGGGGCTTCGTCCTCGTTCACCTTCCCTTTGGGAAAACCCCAGCCGGATTTAGCCAGGTAGCCCTGGACCAGCAGCACCTGGAGGACACACACGCACCAGTTACCACGTTAAAACCCACAGGATGAGGTACTCTTTCTGCCAGAGGGTTCGGGGTTGGAGTCCCGGGGGAACCAGGACCAGAGGGTTCTGGGTTGGAGTCCCGGGGGAACCGGGACCAGAGGGTTCTGGGTTGGAGTCTGGGGGGACCAGGACCTTTCTGGGTGGAGTCTGCATGTTCTCCTGTGTCTGTGGGTTCTCTCCGGGTTCTCCGGCCTCCTCCCACCCTCCAAAAACCTGCATGTTAGGTTGTTGGACTCCAAACTGCCCTTAGTGTGAGTGTGTGTGCTTGTTGGTCCTTGTGTGTCTCTGTGTGTCCCTGTGATGGACTGGGGACCGTCCAGGGTAACCCCGCCTCTCCCCATTGGCTACTGGCATAGGCTCCGGTCCCCCCGACCCCATTAGGGAATAAGAGGTTATGATGATGGATGGATGCTTCCATTCTGCTGAGAAACAGGATCTTTCTTCCTGAGCCCTCAGCACCGACTCACGTTCTCTAAGGACTCATCCAGGATGATGGCTCCGTAGGTGGGGACCCCCATCTTGTACTCCTTCCACTGCTCCAGGACCTTCTGCACGTCCTCCCCGTGAGGCAGCAGAAACGGACAATGATGGAACAGTTTGCAGCCGTCAAGGAACAGAACATTACGAGGAGATTTACCGTCTGCCACTAAACTACTGCCAACACAACCAATCGTTAGCTTCCATTTCCATTTGAGAAAACACAAAGATCATATAAAATATATATATATATATATATATATATATATCTCATTTAAACAGTCTGATGTACAGTGAACATTTTTTTTTATTTTCTAAATGTGTGATTTTATTTTTACCACCAAAGTAATGTACTTAAAAAAAAGGTTGGATTTTTCTCTTTTTTTGCATTTGGGTTCTATGTTCTATGTAGAAGTCCTCAACCACCGCTTAAACAGGGGTGGCTACAATTGTCGAGGGCCCTGTATATGTATATATACATATAAATGGATGTAAATAGAATAAAAAGAAAGGAGAAAATATATAATGTAAACAATCTGATGTACAGTGAACAACTACATCAAAGCATCAAGCCTTTAAAGTCCTAAAGTTGGCTTTGAGTCTGTAAGGATATCTGCTTTGGCAAAGTCCCGTATTCCACAGTGGGGCATCCCGGGAGAGTTCTGCATGCAGAAGTCCAGGTAGAACCAGTGGGCCAGCTCGATCTGGAAGCACACCCGGATGGCATTGTCCCGCTCCTCGCTGGGGATGTGGAGGATGAACCGGCTGGACACACACACAAAGATGAGACCGGGACATGTTCCAGCCCCCCCGGACCCCCCAGTCACACTGTACTCAGCCTTTACTTACATCTGAGCTTAGCTTCTAAACTGGTACCTCACAGTCCTATATCAACAAACCTAACATCATTAATGATCAAGGAATAAATCCATACCAATATTCAATATCATATTGAATATAATATTATATAATATTCCTCAGCAGCACAGTTTAAGTATTTAAAGCTTTCACTCATTTGTTAAATCCAGAGATGTTTTCTGAATATAGTCACAGATTGTAAAGTACTGAATACGTTTCTCCTGCAATAAGTTATTGAACTGATGAGAGCTAATGTTTGATTCAGAATTTAAAACATCTCTAATCTGTAATTAAACTGAATGCTGGGAAAACATGTCAGTCCCTTACTGTAGAAATCAATCCCACCATGTTCTGCATTATGATGCAGGATTACAAAAAAA